CTCTTGAATCGCACAAGGTCGTCCTTGGCCTCACGACCGACGCGCGAGGCATGGATCTGCGCGAGGCGGTAAAAATATATATATATATATAACAGAACTAGAATTAGAATCAGAACCAAATCCAAAAATGAAAACAAAACAAACTTAAAAAAAAGAAAAAAAAAAAGAAAGCCTCATTACCATCATCTTTCTCTTGCTCATTCCCATAGGCTGCGACCAACAACGCGACGGCGATGCGCGTGCTGGTCTCGCAGGGGTGCGCGGTGAACGGGCCGGACTACGACAGGAGGACAGCGCTGCACGTGGCGTGCGCGGAGGGGAGCCTGGAGGTATGTGTATATATATCATATATTTGTCTTCATTTATTTATGTACATTTATTCATTTATTTAGATAGATAGATATAGAGATATTTATACCTTTTTGTAAATAAACAAATATATATATATATATATATATATTTATTTATTTCTTTATTCATTAACGAAAAAGTATACGAATGCAAATGCGAATGCGAACAAAGTAATATTGTGAATAATAACCTTCATCCTGATCATCATCATCATACAAAAAACAAACAAAAACAAAAAAAAACAGGCGGTGCAAGTGCTCATCAGCGAGGCGAAGGCGGACGTCAACCCCCTGGACCGGTGCGTCCCCCCCCCCCCCCCCTTTTTGACACCTCACTCCTCTCACTCCCCTCGCGAGGCACCCACTTAAACTTACTTATACTTTTACATATATATATCTATATCTGTACCAGCTGGGGCTCGACTCCGCTCGACGAGGCCACTCGTGCGCGCCACGAGCACGTGGCCGAGTACCTGAGCAAGCACGGCGCTTTGCGGATGAAGGGGTACTTCACTTCATCCTAGTTTTTTATCCCCCAAAAAAAAACTCACCCGAAAATATACATAAATCGTCCTTCGTTTTGTGTTGGTTCTCATCCTACATTCTCTTCCAAATAAAATCACATCAGGCGCAGCCGCGGTCCAAGCAGCGGGCATGGCTCGGGCCGCCTCGACCTCAGCACGCCACCCTCGCCGGCGATCGAGGAGGGCATGTCGGTTAGCCAGTCGGTTAGCGGCATGTCGCTCGGAGTGCCAACGGTGTGTACCCCCCCCTATCTAGTACCCCCCCCCCTCCGGACCCCCCCTTATGATTCTCATTATCCCTTTTAAGGTTGTTATTAGCCCCTCCGTACCCTCGCTCCAATACCCCGCCCCCCTTTTTTTAAGGTTCTTTTAATATGATGAGTCCCTCCCTGCCCCCCCTCCCCCCCCCTCTCTGCTTCTCGTATCCCCTCCGTGCCACCTGTCACTCAGCTGTACCTAAGTACTGTTCCATGTTAATCCTTTTCCCTTGCAAGGGATTAACAAAGGCGATATGTACTGTAAAATTTAAACCTTTTAACCAAATACGGTTTTAATTTTCGGTAGCAATCGAGACCTGGGTCCAGCAGGTACCTAAGTATTGCCTGCCCCCGGTACCTAAGCATTGCCTCCCCCCTGCCCTTCCCCCTTTGCCCCCTTCCCTGGCCATGGCCACAGGGGTTCTCGAAAGGCCCGTCCCCCAGCAGCAGCGAGGTGTGGCCCTCTCCCGCCATCCGCCGCGAACATTCGCCTCTCGGTGAGCGACAAACATCTCCACACGGGGGCGACATCGGGGGCGGCAGGCGCGGCTTCCCGCTCGCGCCCATGCCGCGCGTGGTGAAGCGCGCGGACCGGTTCGAGTGCCCCCTCTCCGGCCTGCGCTACGTAGAGCCCGTCGTTGCTGCGGACGGCTTCTCCTACGAGCGCACGCGCATCCTGCAGGTTTTTTTTTTTTTTTTTTTTTTTTTTTTT